TTACAGTAAACACTTGGGGGGGGGGGAAGATACAGACTAGGTTTAGCAAACAGACTTTCCACCACAGGCACCAAATTTTCTGTAACCTCAATTTTTCTATTTCGATGTAAATGAGCTGCAGTTCATCTGATTTCTATAAATGCTGGGTTAATTTGAGTTTAAGTGTTTCAAGTGTTTCAAGTGTTGCGCATTGCAAGCAGTGAAAAGCAAAAGAAAGTGTTTTCTGCTGTTAAGCCACAAATATTGTTTTGAAAAGAAGACACTTAGAAATGCAGGCGTTTATTCATCCCCAAGAGGAAGGCTGTACATGAGGAAATATTATAAATAGCCCAATGTAGTGGGAGATTTTTGATAAAACTTTAAAGGTCCTCTGACTAGATTATTGCTGTAACAGGCCTACTTAGTAAGTATTGGCTGATTCATTCATATTCCACTGGACCTGCTATTAGAGTCAGGAAAAGCACTTAGGAGATACCGGGAGGTAGAGCTTTGTGTTATAATAACAGGCTGTTGCATTGTTGCTCCTTCGACTGAGGGAACTTTATAATGCATCTTTTTAACTTGCTGTAATAATCTTCACTGCACTGAAGTATTTTTATTGTGTGAAGAAGACATTTCTCTCACTGTTTTGACCCAGCTAGTCTCTTTCCCTTTCTGTTTATCCAATAAAACAGCGCTGTAGACTTTACACCTGCTTTTCACAGACCTTAAATTTCAGACTCAATCTCCTCTGTACGCATTCTTCAGCAGTGCCGCCTATCTTCCATTTTACCAACGCAAAAACCTGCTGTGGCTTTTTAGTAAATAAGGACAAATGCAGTCCATAAAAAAGGGACACAAATCCTTAGAAAAGATGCAGACCAGCAGGTATATTTACTAAGGCTTTCCTTAAAGAATGGAACGACGATGCTGCACAATCCTACTCCACTGTAACAGCAGCACTTCCAAAGCGGTCTTAACTGCGTAATCTCGTGCATGTTTAACATACAACATACGCAATATGTTGCTGATGTGCTTTTTAAAATTGATAGCAGCATTACGCTCAGGATTTCTATATATAAATGTGTTAATTGGGAGGTGAGTTGTGACTTCGATTGTGTTATTGCTGCACAAATGTACACGCATTTCCACTTGGATAGATAATAATCGCGGTCCAACGCGGTTAGGAAATACAGCTGTGTTGATCCTACACTAACAATGTGGTCACATGCATCACTGACCCCTCTGAATGTGGTTTGGTTGATCAGATTCTCCGTGCGCCTTTGATTCATTAACAACTTGTGAGATTAACCGTCTAGTTGTGATTAAGACAGATTTTGTTTCATGCCAGGTCTGAAAAGGTTCCCCTAAAAGACACAGAGGAGGAAGATAAAGTGGCAGAGTGTGTGTGTGTTTACCTCTCTGACATTCGGCAGCTCCAGGATGTCAGAGAAGACGTAGAGGCCTGGGGTCTCCAGCAGAGAGCTGACAGCCTGGGCCAGTGCTGAGCCTGACAGAGACAGGAGCTGCTCCACCTCCATCTGATGCCAGGGGACACGGGGGACACGGGGGACACGGGGGACACAACACACGGTTAACAGGTTAGACAGAAGTACTACTGAGACACATAAGAGCAGCAGAGTTATTTAGAAAGTACAAGTATGATAATAATCAAGGAAATTACATATCTGTTACCGCCCTTGGCACTGCCACTTTATATGATGGTGGTGGAAAATTCATCTAGGAACAGCGTGTCACAGTCTTTCCATAAATACTCTATTATCAAAGCTCTATTAATGAACACAGCATGTAGGTATCTTCGTCACTCCCCTTGAATGATAATTCAGCCACTTGTGGTCTGGTGAAAGAACATAAAATTGAACGAACAATACTCCCTTTTTATTTAACGTCTAACGGCCAAGTACTCTTGACCAAAGTACTTGACCCTCAAATCACCTGGAGAGCTCCTCACATAGTGGAAGAATAGCTGCAGTAGGTAGCACCGATACGGTCAGTGTAATGAATGTGAAGCAGGGCCATGTATATTCATCAAAATCCATTCCCTGCATAGAGACACGATGCAAATGCACCCTGGGCTGAGGGCAACACCAGAATAACTACCTAAGTAGTGATAGGAATCTGTCGGAGCCTCCAGCAGATATTTAGTCTCCAGAAAGTTATTCCCGAAAAAAACAAACAAACAAAAAACAAAACCATTTCCAGATGCAAAAACTTTGGCCAGACTCTAAACTGTATATTAAAATTACCCAAATATAAAAAAGAATAAAAGATGCAGTATTGTATTTTATATTTTATTTTTATTATACTTGCTAATTGCTGTTTGCTGTGCCTAACTTGAATTGGGGGATCAATAAAGGAATATCTTATCTTATCAGTGACTGAAATTAACTTTTTGACTCAACGGCCACGGGGACTAGCAGATGAAACATTCACTGGCCAAAATAATAATCAAATCCTTTTTGTGTCACATTTGCATTTGTTTCAGAACATTTTATTGAATACGGTATATAAATATATGTATTTATTTATATATATATATAAAT